ACATTCTGACTAAGGAAACAGTTAAAGTAGAAGCGATAACATTAACATCGATATAATAGTAGTGATAGCGCCATTGATAATATCAACAACTGCTATCAAATCTCCAGTTACTTAATAGTGATAAATATAACAGGTAAGAGTATTAATGATAATATAATGAACACATAAAGGTAAATAGTAAGCAAACATTAGCCGAATCTGGACTATAATTAAATGAGTTTGGTGGAGTCGCTGATCATATGCAGTTCTTGACTAATGGAATTGTTGCAAGGTTTAATTAATTGCAGGTCCATCTTTTACTTCAGGTTGAGCATGATAATGGCGGCAATCGCAATGCTATGATAATAATGATGATGATACTAAAAATGATAATGATAATGATAACAATAATGATAAAGATAATAATGATGGGGATGATGGTTTGAAAAGAATAATACCAATTTTAATAGTTGAAATCCTTATGATATGATTTATTGTCATAAGTGATCATTGTTTTTATGATCATTAAGAATAAAAGAAAAATTATTTTAACCATGAAAGTCGTGGAAATGAAAATGATAATATTGTGTATAATAGTGATTATAACAACATTGTTATCATCATTATTACTATTATCATTGCTATTGTTATTATTACTATTATTACTATTCTTATCGTTATCCTTATTATTATTATCATCATTATCATTAATATTACAGTCAACAAAAATGATAATGATGATAATATGAGTATCATAATAATGCTGATAATAATAATTTTATGATAATTATAATGATAGCGATAATGATAATAATAATGATAATAAAGATAATAATAATAATGATAATCATCATTACCATGATAACTAAAAACAATAATTAATAACAATAATCAAAACAACAACTACAAAACATCAAAACGAACCATACAAACAGAACGAAACATAAAGAAACGGATGTGATAAACGGGAAGAAACAGGTCCAAAGAGAAGAAATAGAAGAAACAGCTGATGCCATCTTTGACGAGGAGAACGAGCCTCGGCGACCAGCATCATCCAGACACAAGGGAGAGTTTGATTCTATTTTTAGCTCGTTCGAGAAAGACTATTTTTTTCCTTTTTCTGTGACTAATTGAGGTCTTTGGGTTTTGTCATTGTTATCGTTGTTATTATTGTTGTTGTTTTAATTGTTGTGATTTGTATTGGTATTATTAGTAGTAGTATCGTAATTGTTAAGGTATGAAATTATGGTTGTTGTTATCATTATTATTATTGTTATTGTTATTATTATTATTATTATTTGTGGTAGTAGTAATAGTAGTAGTATCATTATCATCATCATTATTTATTATCATTATTATTATTATCGATATTACCATTATTGTTTTTATTTTATTATTACTATTACTATGATCATTTTATTATCACTGTCCTTGCTATTATCCTCATTATCATCATAATCATCATTAACATCATCGCATTATATTATTATTATTATTATTATTATTATTATCATTATCATTATTATTATTATTATTATTATTATTATTATTATTATTATTATTATTATTATTATTATTATTATTATTATTATTATTATTATTATTATTTTCCTCATCATCGTCATCGTCTTTTGCTGATAATCTGGAACTGTACATTGACAAAGGAAATTTCAACTCAGCATATTCCAGTTTTGTCAGTTTTGTAAATATATGAAATGTAGGTCAACATACCTTACAGGGTATTATTCTATTCTGGTTGATAATGAGATTGATAACAACGATAGTAATCATGATAATGATAATAATGGTAATAATGGTAATGATTAAGATAATGATGTTCGTATGAATAATAATGATTAAGATAATGATGGACATAATAATAATAATGATCGTAAATATAATGATAATGATACTTATAAAAATAATAATGATAATGATAATAATAATAATGATAATAAGAGAATAATGGCAATAATCATAATGATATATTAATAACAGCAATGACAATGATCGCAGCAATAAAAGAATGTCCAATAATACTAGTAATTACAATAATTATGATAATCCTAATGCTAATGAAAATGTTGAAAATAGTCATATCAACCGGCCATGTTGCGTAATTCTGCTGCAGTCGTCAACCTGCAGTACAAAGGGTATGCTCGGTGCTTTATAAACATCACCAAGCAATACATATGCATTATTACCCACAATTCCCTTTTTGCGATAAGACAATGCCAGGCGTGAACGTAGTCTAAATATAGAGTGAAAGTCGCTAATGGAAAGGGAGTGTTGTAGATGTACGGGATAAGGCTGACAGCGTTCGTGACTTCACCGGATTAACTGCATGTATTGATCCGATGTGCTGGAGAGCTGTTACAAGAACGCGGAGCCGGGAGATGTGGGCGTCAGCGAGCCCTCGTTCAAAACCTTTTTTTTTCCCTTAATGCAAATTTGAAAAACCGCACTACAGTGGAAAGAATCGAGAGAGAAAAGGGAGAAATAAAGAAAGAAGGGTAAAGCGAACAGAGAAATAACGAGAGCGAGAGAGGCGAGCGGGCCGGAAAGTAAGCAGGTCGTGGGCAGCATTCAACATCGTTCAAGAGGGAAGCCACAGGTGTCCGGCCTCTGACGTCACAATGGAAAGATTCGCACCGACCGACGCACATGCACGACCTTAACCACCCTGTAACTGCTGACGAGCAGAATGGGTGGTCGTCATTGGACCTTTCTCCAAGCACGACCTCGTTTGAGTGTATAGGGGTAATTGTGTATAATGAGGTGATTCTCCTCTATAACAAACTCTTTTGCCTTTCTTATCACTGGAAGAGTGTCCTAATATTTTACTCCTTTGTGTCTTTGTAAATAAGGTCCGATATAGATACTTTCTGGAAATTACGATTAAAAAGTCTGGAGTCTTATTTTTTATCTTTTTCCTTGTTTTTTATTCAAAATGTAATAAACTAAAAGGATTCAGACATCTCTCCTTACTTTTTATCTTACTCCTTTTTTATTAAAAAAGTAACAAACTAAAAAAAAGAAAAAAAAATCAAACATCTCTGCAGATTCAACATCTATTTGATTCTCCTTTGAATTCACAGAAGCACAGACGATTAAATTGTTTACCCTCGCTCCTCTTCATAAATTAATCGGAAGCGCTGAAGAGGGTCTCTCTCGAAGCCTCTTGTGTCTAAAGAAGACTCTGGTGCTCGAGTCCCCCCGAAGCTTCTCAAACCTGTGTAAGTCCTTCCGAATTCGCTTGCGCTCGAGGGCCGCCCTTCAGCCTCGAGTCTTTTGCGAGTCCAACAGCTTCCCTGTCTCTCCTCGAAGGGAAGTTTCACGTTGCGTTAGGTTTGCTATTTCTGCTCCAGTAAATGAAGAAGCTGAAGGACACACACACACACACACACACACACACACACACACACCACACACACACACACACACACACACACACACAACACACACACACACACACACACATACACACATATAATATATATTAATTAAGAAACTGCTATTATTTCCACAAATTTAATTAGAACCGATTCTGAAACTGCTTCAAATACGTACATACACAAAGAACCTGCCCGACATGAAACACGAGTCGCAGCCGCATGCACGAACAAGCACACGAGAAGCCCCTGGTGCTTGCAGGCATCGCTGGAGGATCTTGCACAACTTCAGCAGGATGTCCGCCTCCCCCGGCTGTCCGAGGGGAAAGTTCCACCTCCAGAACCTGTTGCTCCTTTGCAACGTGACTTTTCGGAGGCTTGCATTTTGTGTTGGTCGGTTGGTATCATGCGAATCGATGACCAAGAGAGAGAGAGAGAGAGAGAGAGAGAGAGAAGAGAGAGAGAGAGAGAGAGAGAGAGAGAGAGAGAGAGAGAGAGAGAGAGAGAGAGAGAGAGAGAGAAGACTAGAGTAGATTATTTCGATGGTGTTG